GGGTTTAGGGTGTAGAGTTTTGAGTTTAGGGTTTAGGGTTTAGGGTTTAGAGTTTAGGGTTTAGGGTTTAGGGTTTAGGGTTTAGGGTTTAGGGTTTAGGGTTTATGATGATGATGATGATTGCTGTTATTATGGATTGGTGTCCCTGTTATTGTTATGACTAGTACTAGTAGTCTATACTGTCGTGATATGTTCATGATCTCGTTGCAGTTTCAGGGTTTTGGGCTTGGGGCTTAATTCATTCGGTTTGGAGTTTCGGGTTCAGGAGCCTTTCGCTCAAGCTCCAGCTTGTCCGGCTCGCTGCGGATGTTCTCTTTGCTAGGGCTTTGGGTTTAGGGTTTAGGCCTAGGCGCTTAGGGTTTGGACTTTTCGAGAAAGGCTACAACTTCTCGACGTTGTTGAAGTGAGAGACAGGTTCGGCTTGGTGCGGCCCAAGTGCGACCAAATCCAACACTTGGGTCCCTAAACCCTAAACCCTGTAGTGCGGTATATTCCATGTAGAGAACAACTTCGGAGCCTGTTGTTGTGGTGCTCTGGCTCAGGTTTTGCAGGAGCACTGCTGGCCGCAAGCGAGCTGTGCTTCTTGCGATGGGCAGGACTTTTCATTCGGTGCGGTGTTCCATCCCTCCAGCCATCTTTACGGACTTCAGATGTCTTGTGCAGCCATCAGTGTGACTGGATACAAACACTGTGACCTCAGTTGCCAGGACCCGTGTCACGCGCACTCGGCGAAAGGAAAAGAGCGGTGGCGGTGACTTGTGTGATCAGCTTGTCGACAGAACCTTAGCTAGAAGCCAGGCATCTTCCCTGCTACGCCGGCGGCACCATGCTTGCTTCCTGAACTTTGCATCAGAGCCGCTTGTGCCATGCGCCGCTGTTTGGCTCAAAAGCTCTAAATCAAGCTCGCCTCAGGATCCGTCCTCCCTCGCCCTGTGGTGGCGATTTCAACGTTCTACGTTACGCTTCTTAGCTCGAGAGGTTCGATCTTGTGACGGATCTTTGCTTGCCGCTTCTGCCGCTCAGGTCCGTCTCTGATCTGGACAAACCCTAAAGTCCAGCGATTCCATGGAGTCTGTCATCGAACTCGCTTATGAAGGTCTCTACATGCTTCGCATTGAGCTCGCATTTCTCCTTGTCTTCGGCTTCCTTTGGGTTGCCGGTCGTGTTCTTGGCACAGAGAAGCGCTCACAGCCCGGAAACCCTAAGGGCAGTGGTCGCAAGGCTGCGCCAGCACCCCAGCGCCGCCCCGGGCTCACCCAACGCCGACCAGCCTCTGGTGACGAATGCCTACCGAACTTGTCCGTTACCACGGTGGACCCCAAGAAGTTGCAGAACCCGACTTGGCTCGTGGCGCAGGTCACCCAGCTCTGCCGCTCCCAGGCGGGAGTTGCAGACAACATGGGCTCCTGAAAGCGGCCTTCACCGAACCCTCGCAGAAACTTTATTTCTAGCATCCTTTTCACAGAAACCCTTGTTAAAACCCCTATAAGGGGAAGGATCTCTCGTGTCTCTAAAGAAGCAAAAGCCCCCTTCCAGGTGCAGAAGGCCTTGGAGCTCTACAAAGCTGCTCTGAAAGCCGGCCTCCAGTTGGAGGCGGGCCGTTTCGTAGGTTGAGGGCTTCTGGATTCTTGGGGTTTTGAGGGTATAGGGGTTTCAGGGGTTCGGGGCCTTTTAGGGGTTCAGGGTTTCAGGGGTTTGGGGCCTTTTAGGGGTTTAGGGGTTTCACGGGTTTAGGGCTTTTTAGGGGTTTAGGGGTTCATCGTTTAGGGTTTCGGCGTTCGAGGGGCAAAGATCTGTCAGCCTTTGAAAAAGGGTTCTTCATCGCGGTGCTTGCGAAGCCTCTTCGGCTTCAGGAGATGCCCTAAACCCTAAACCCTAAACCCTAAACCTCTTTATCATATGAATATTTAAACTTTAATATCATTGGTTGTTTAAGGCCTGGGCCAGACCTCATCAAATTAGTTGTTTAAGGCCATTTTCGCGTTCCAGCTTGTCAGACCTCGTGGCCCTTGGCCAGACCTCATCAAATTAGTT